AATCAGTGGAATAATCAAACTTCTCTTTTGTTATAGAAACGAGCTCCCTAATCGGCTCGACGAGGAGCCCGGCACCTGTAACAAGATAAAAGAGGATAGATAAAATTCACATACTTCTCGGCCATACTCCGTGCCCCAGTAGATATAGTTACTGCAGTTATGCATGCAATCTTCCAGTGACATGTTGTCGTAAGCAAATGCGGCGCCACTTAGCGCCCGAGTTCCCTGTGCGGTGGATTCTTTCTGGCATCCAACAAGTACATACTCACCAAGGTCATGCCTGTGATGCAAGGTCTCAGCTAGTGCTGTAGAAGAGGTGGTTGTAATGCTCACGGTTGTAGATAGAGTAGTAGATAAAGTAGATAAAGAGACTGATGTAGATAAGGTACTTGGTGATCCGGGAGGCGTTGATACCCGTCCAGTAGTACATACAGGAGTTGAAGGAGTTGGGAAGGGTTGACACGTTGCCTCTAATTCGCTTGCAGCATTAAAGTCGTCTACAAGATAAGATGACCCGCTCCCACTAATAACATCGATCTTCGATGCATACGCAAGATCACCAAGGCCGGCGTAGGTTGCCGTGTACAAGGTATATGGGCCTACACAAGTACTCTCCGTCATGGTAATCGTGGTATTTTTAAGGGTGGGAATCGGACGGTTGGGGTTACCCGTTGAGGTCTTGTACGATATAAGCGTATTGACAGGGAAGGCTTTACGGTCATTGCGAACCTGTGGGACTAAGTTAACACCAGCTTATAACCGAGAGCATAAACGTTAGCTTACGGCTGCAGTAACGGTGAGGGTACCCGAAAGAAGACAGCTTTGTGAGTTTTGGATAAATATGGCGTCTTGTACTGAATACAAGTTTCCGTTGTTATCGAAAAGCTTGGTGGTTCCATCGGCCATGTTAAGTGTTACGGTAAAAGATGAAATGCCCGTGGAGGTTGAAACGTCAGCGCTAATAGGGAACCACTTAGATGTGTTAGATTTAGGTTGGAAATATAACCACATATCATATTGTAGACTCACAATGAATTGATCGTCAAAACCCTGAGTGGTACCCAAGACGGTTGCCGTATATGCGCAATTCGCGCTGCCACAATTGCTGCCACCGCTTCGATCCTTGTAGTCGAGGGTTAAACTAGAGATGGAATCGCTCCCTATGTCGGTAGTCCGGACACGTATAAACCCAGTAAGCTTCATTGTTGACAGGTCAGGGTTGAGTGCCAACTGCATATCAACTGGCTTTACGGAATACGGCTGAATAGGGTCGGACAAAACAACACCATCAGGCACAGTGTTGATCAGCTTCTGAAGAACAGTTGCGCATATGCTACTGAACTCAGCGGCCGCTGCCATTGCTTTGACCGTCACGTTACCATCGTAGTTGAACACCTTGTAATCCGAGTTCCTGGTGGCCTTGACTGATGGTCCAACTACCATTGGATTGGTAGTGTTACCGGCGATGTATTCAGTAACAACCTTATTGTCGAATACAGAGACAGTGGAGTCAAAAGTGCCTTCGCCGTTTGAAGTCGACCCTGTTGGGACGATTTCAGGAAACTCATTCTCGTGAACGCCGCCGATAGAATGACCACAGGCGGTAACCTGAATCATTTCGGTCTTGCTGAACCCCATGCGCGAAAACTGCTGCTCGAATGTGAAAGCAGTGTTCTGTGGTAGCGGGACACCTATGGGGCCGGCCACGGTAGCGTCAACTCTTCCGCCGGCAATAGGCACTGCTGGGCCGCCGCAAGACCTAACGGCGTAGTATACACCCAGGGCGATAAGATCCGCCACACCTGACCGGCTCGTATAATAATCAGCCATGAACTTGAGTGTTGTGTTGAATCCTGGACCAATATTGTCCGAGCTAGTTAGCTCGTATTGCAAAGAGCCGTCTAAGCCCCCGGATCGTACACTGTCTAGATATGTAGTTGTAGCCATATCATGAAAGGCAGCCCTTAGCCATTCTGCAGCATTCTGCCGACCAGGCCCGGATGCCTCGTTAGAGCATGGGATGACGGTCCCGCCAAAGTCTCTAGCCCTGTACCCTTGTACTTGGTACATGATCTCCTCGAGTTCATCGTTAGGGGATGGCCAGGTTGGATCGGCTCTCGCAAGAACACATAACACTACCATCCACCAAACCACGACACTCTCGCACATCGTAGAAGGGGACCGAGCGCGCATGGGGACGTTAAAACTGAATGCGAGAATTGTCAAATGGTGAAGTTAATAGCAAGCTTGTCGCCCATAAAGTTGTCCTAAGATGCCAACGTTTTACCAGCAAGTAAGCGTGCGGGTTGATATAAGCGAAGAGGTTGTAGGGGTCGTAAGAGCCGGTCCCAAAATCCATGGTGAGGTTAATATAGTTTATATCTAAGGACTTAGCTACGTACCTAAGTATGTTATGGCATTTCGCCATTGTATCGTGCCTAGTAATATTCAGACAATTTCTGCGAGATAGGAGGGCGAGCCGCCGAGCCTGACGGCTGCAAGGCCCCTGCAGCCATAAAATACGAGACCTCGAAGCGACGCACGATGCAATGCTACTTCGGATACCGAACGAAAGCGGATTGGTCGGTAGCGTCTCAGGCGACAACTTCATATCGCAAATCAACTAAACCAAACTAGCATGTCCGTTCACAAGCAATATGAATCCTAGTGGCCGATGCATTGACCGCTCAAAGTCTACATCTCGGACTTAGATCAAAGTCACCTAACAAGTATCCGGTAAGCATCGAACCAATGTCTCACGTATTATGCTGTTGACAGGAGTCAGTCGCGGGGGGGATTTAGGGAATGGAAAGAATCGTGTAGATACATGTTGAGCAGTACGGTTGGATCACTGGTGGACAGCTCACACATTCAAGTCATCCTATATCTATACGGTTATCATTGCCGACTTGAGGCTGAGTGGTCATTCGATCAGTTCCGCGTTTATTTGACCACTCTAAACCAGTTGAATTCATTTTCGCAAGCCACCAAGACGGGCGAATTTCCATATTAGTGTAAGCAATTAGCTGTTTGTTAATAGCGGTAGCCTGACTTCGTGAACACAACATATCTAGCTCGGTATAGTTGGATCTAATATGTGAACGGGTTTTCGTAGAGGCCTATTCTTAAATGGTTGAAGCTGTTGGCCTTTGGTACAAATGGCTACGCAGACATTTACGAAAAGCCAGTGACGTACACCCGATTACACGACTATGACTATGACGGTGCATGCTAATAGCACTTACATCGCCGGCCGTTCTTGTCGAGCTATTGAACCTAGGAGTTAGGATCTAGTCCAAACGGGTTGTTCAAGTCGTGACACGTACATAAGCAGTTTAGAGTAAGTATCGAACCTAGGTTACATGATGGAGATGAAGCTCAAGCTCAAGCTCTCTCTCTCTCTCTCTCACCGGGCTTCGACAAGTGGGGTCACAAGTGCATCGACGATCCAATAATGTTGAAAAGACGTCGTATCTTATAGTCGCTAACGATGAGACTTAAAATCTCACCGGTATAACAAGCGGTCTTGATGTGTGAGCACATTCGACATTTAAAAGCTTTAGATAGGCGAGTAATACTTGCAGCCGTTGAATGTGGAAAGGAATAAGAAAAGGTACCTATCTACGCGCGGGTACGTATTGCTAGGTTTTTTTGTTCGGATACTCGCTACCTTATTCCAGAAACACGTGCATAAAGCGGGCCTTATTGGTCTATTCGGTGGAAATTGATGGTTCGCGACGAGGGATCAGCAGCGGCTCGGGAAAGCTAAGCTACGCGTACCTAAGCTCTGGAACACTTCCATCCGGGCATCATCCTCAAGCTAGGAGGTACGTATCTCCCCGTCTCCAAAACCGGGATGGATCTAGACTGAGAGGTACCCGTGTACATATAAGTACACGGGCAATTTCTAACTCGGCGCTATTTTATTTTGCAACTTCAATTGTAGTGTATTATTGTTCACCTCTTAGCGCCCTCCGTCTCCTCCAGGCTCCATCTCACCAAAGCAAGCAAAACAAACGGACGAATGTTATTGATGCAATTATACGACTAATTACAGCTCATAAGAAAACGTTTATGATATGTGACACGATAGACTCTAGAGGCTGTTTGCATAGGCTATTACGGTCTAGACAGGGAGTTTGGATTGTTCTCGATGTTCCAACGTCCTCTTCGTCTAGGGCTTAAGTTTAGTGCTATTGCATCAGCCTCTAATCTCTATCGCAGACTCATACTCGAATCCACTCATAGTATAACTATCGTATGATTACTTACATGTAGGACATTTACCAACATATGTAAGTATGCGGTGGTCTTACATGATAGTTATAACTATCCAGAGTCGAGCCACTCGTATTTCAAGGAAAGATAGTTGCCGTAACTCCATAATATTACGTTTTAATGCCCTGAATGATTTCGATGTAATACGACAAGTTGACTGGTCCGCCTTGAATATCAACACTCCGATGTTCAAGTGTTGGGGTGTCCGAGAAACTGGGATATCTATGCCGACGCTTGCATTCCGTCTTCCTAAGGCTGGATATGGACGATTCAAGGGTTGAGCGAACTGGCTTTAGGCGGCCTGTGATGTCTTGTCTGTGACCCTGGTGACCGGTATTGTGATAGGCTCATATGGGGGCTGTAACGAATCATGATAATATATCCTATTTATATATATATATATTTTTCAATATTCATGATATGCACCACTCCATCTAATAAGATTTCCTTTGACTTCGCCATAGAGCATTCTTCTCATCTCCCTAGAGTCTAATTTATAAATTAGGCACTTCGATGTTGCATAATCATCTTTGTATTGAAGGCAAAGACCTTTCAATGTCTATTCATTTTCGTAGGTACTTAATTACATGGCAGCATAGTTATATAGTGCAGTGGGTGACGTAGAGATTACCTAATAAGGCTGGATATCTAGTCCGCAATTTTACCGCGAAACAAGAGTTTGGCATATAGATATTAATTCCGGGCTTGCCAACATACAACAATCCGAATTGGTGTAGTGGCTAACATTTGACGCTCTCATGATTAAACTATCATAGGAACCGTCAAGCCCGGGGTTCGATTCCCCGATTCGGAGTTTACTTTTTGCTCCTTTTTGAGGTGCTGCAAATCTTTTTGGGGTGTTTGGGTTCTCTTTTATCTTTTTTAATAACCCCCCAACCTGGCTGAAGGTTCGCCAGCACCTGTATAATTTGCGTGTGACTTAAATTCTTCTACAAGTACCTACCTACCTACATCCTGTAGATAGCTACACAAGACACAAGTTATACTAAGATTATTGGAAGTGCAGGTACATATGGGAGGCAAGACACCAACTGATTAAATCGCTAGATTTATAGTTTAAGATGCACGCGAGAAATACAATAAAACAACTGAATGATGCCTGCCCCACTACCTTTTCAAACATTTGACTCAATTTATCTTGATCGGGGGGTTCTTGGCTGTATGTGGCCTGTGCGCTTATCTATAAACTGTGCTTAGATGCATAATGCATTTAGAAATGCTAGCATACAGAAAGGTGGGGCGTCTCTTGGGAAAATTCGCTTAGCCCTCGCGCAAACCCACAAGAAAAATAATTTAGTGGTGGGCTTTTTGATTTTTCGCAGTTCAACATCACCAAATCGCAAATTTGAGACCATCAACACCCAGAGTCGAGGTAAGTTCGCGCAGGTTAGCCTCCCTTTATCTTTCCTTCTATTATCTATTAAATTTCACTATCTTAATTCACCTCTCATGTTTGCAATTGACTGACCATTATCAACTTTAGCATTACGACCTTCACGATGGCCTCTCGACCGACTGTCACCATCATCGGCAAGGATGGTTCTCCCTCGGGAGCTACCCATACCATTCCTACCGTGTTTGCCTCCCCCATCCGACCTGATATCGTCCAGCAAGTCCACACTGGAATGGCCAAGAACAAGCGACAGCCTTATGCCGTGAGCGAGAAGGCTGGTCACCAGACCTCTGCCGAATCTTGGGGAACTGGTTAGTAGTTTTCAAAATTTTATCCGAGGGTGGAGAAGATACGGTTCAGAAAGAGAAGAGAAGATTCTGCTATCGATGGACGATGTTCTACGTCGGGAATGTGTCGGATGTTGAAAATCATAATGAGTGACAATTGCTAACAATATTATCTAGGTCGTGCCGTTGCCCGTATCCCCCGTGTCTCTGGTGGTGGTACCCACCGTGCCGGTCAGGCCGCCTTCGGTAACATGTGTCGTTCCGGTCGCATGTTCGCCCCTACCAAGATCTGGAGAAAGTGGCACATCAAGATCAACCAGGGCCAGAAGTGAGTGATAGGATTTGGTCAATGTTTCGAGTATATAAAACTAATTTCTTCAAAAGGCGATTCGCTACCGCCTCTGCTCTTGCCGCTTCCGCTGTCCCTCCTCTACTACTCGCCCGCGGTCACCAGATCTCCTCCGTCCCCGAAGTTCCCCTAGTCGTTGACTCGGCTGCCTTCGAGGGTGGTGCTGCTGCTAAGACTGCTGGTGCCCTCGCTATCCTAAACGCTGTTGGTGCCGCTGCCGACATCGAGAAGGCCAAGAAGTCGAAGAAGCTCCGTGCTGGTAAGGGTAAGCTAAGAGGCCGCCGCCACCGCCAGCGACGTGGACCTCTGGTCATCTACGACCCTGAGGTCGATGGTAAGGAGCTTGTCACTGGTACCCGAAACCTCCCCGGTGTTGAGACCAGCTCCGTCTACGCTCTCAACCTCCTCCAGCTCGCCCCTGGTGGTCACCTCGGACGATTCATCGTCTGGACCTCGGCCGCTTTCAAGGCTCTCGACAAGATCTACGGCACCACCACCAAGCCTTCTGAGCTCAAGAAGGACTTCCTTCTGCCTTCCAACCTGGTTTCCCAGGCTGACCTGAGCCGTCTGATCAACAGCTCCGAAATCCAGAGCGTCCTCAACGCTCCTAAGGGCGGTCCTCTTACCAAGCGCGCCGCTGTCCAGAAGAACCCTCTCCGCAACAAGCAAGTCTTGCTGCGCTTCAACCCTTACCACGCCACCTTCGTGAAGAACCAGGTCGGTCAGCAGAAGGCGGAGGCTGGTAAGCCCCCTAAAGCCCCTAAGGCTTTCCTGGATGTCCTACGCGAGGATTAAATTAGACTAGCTTGGTGAGCAGCATAGTCTAGGGGAAAGGGGAACGGTAAATCGGTTGCAATACTCACGGCGTACTGGATCATAGGGTCTGATGAATCAATCAATGACATTCTTATTATGATCGCCATTTCCCACCTCGTTGGTGATCGTCTGTGCATCATAGCAGGCCCCTCAGAGGGTAATTTAACAAACGAGTTCGTTAAATGTTTCGTGGATTCGTGTGCCGTAGGTTTCCCCACTATTATACCAGTCCTTAGACTCTGTAGCCAGCATTTTTCTCTTTCCTACTGTCGTCGAAAATGGCATGTCTCTTCATGGAACTCTTGTGACCCGTCACTCTATACGTAAGACTAGCCTAACCCAATACTATCCACATGTCATAGCTCAACGTTCGTAATATTAGTACAGTCAGGTAATACCATTGTTATGTTCGTTCTATATTGAATTTGCTTCTATCCCCAAAATATATACCAAAATACTAACGGTTAGGTATATCTAGTACGACCCCGCGGGTAGCCATCCATGCATATAATAGGTCGAGTTTGTGAGTCCTCCGATATGTATCTACTACACCCGACATATACATCCGCGTAAAACCCCAACTCTAACATCCCATCCAGCTTCCCAAATTCACCAAGCTCTCCTCATCCTCCGGCTCCGTCTGCGCCGCGCTAGCATCATCGAGTAAGGCCTCGAGTTCCTTGACGTTCTTAATACGCCAGAATCTCTGAACACCCCGGCTGAAGCGTATGGAACACTTATCGATATTCTCTTCGGACTCGGCTGCGAAGCATAGACGGTAATACGCCCAACCGCGCTCGTTGCGGATTTGGGGGTTTGCGCTGAACATGAGACCGGGGCTAACTAGGACTAGGTACGGCTTGCGGGTGAGGAAGATCATAAGAGCCGTAGATAACGCGACGCCGTTGATGATGTTGCCGCGGGATCCGGCGGCTTTCCATAGGGGATGTGTTTCGAAGCGCATGTGTAACCAAAGGAACATGCCGCCGCGAGGCCATTGGAAGTCGTAGAGCTGGGTCTTGGTTATAACGCCCCAATCGGAATCCGACTCACGCATCGGTGTCGATTGCTTGAGCTGGTACGCATTTTCCTCGAGGATCTTGCACATGCGGTTCATGCGCCTCTCATACTGGCCTCGGAGGCCGGCCAACCATCGCACCCAGCCGTCCATCTTCCAGCCGCTGAAAGTAGCACGGCCTTTCACGGGTCGGGCCGCGAATGCTGCTGATGCCTCAGGCTGCGGTCCCATGATAGTCTCGGCGATAACGACTTGAGCGAAACCGGAGGGTTGTTGTGTGCCTGTCTCGCTAACACGTAGGACGCGCTCGCAGATCGCGGGGGTCGAGGTAATCCATCCCATCCGGCATCCGGGAGCCACGGTTTTGGAGAAAGTATCCAACCTCACGACTCGCCCATCCACATCGATACTTAGGAATGATGGCGCAAGAGAATCCAAGTATTCGTATCCAGATTTCTTCTCGAGAGTATTCACAATTTTCGGTTCTGGAATCGGATGTCCCCTTGCCTTTGCCTCCCCAACCGCCGCGGAAGGGTACTGAAGGTACCAATACGGGTCATCCTCGATTATGATGACGTCGTATTTGCTGCAAATCGAGTATAGTTCCCTCCTCCTCTCTAGGGACAAGACGCCACTTGTCGGGTTGTGGCCCATTCTGTGAAAGTATATTTAGTACGCCGCGCATCGTCCGATATGGTCCATATTGCGAAACTTCGCACTTATGGACACTAAGGTATTGGTGACTATAAGTCGGGCATAAGAAAACTTACGTTACGGTATATAGTAAGTGTGGCCGTTTCCCCTTGTTATGATCCCAGTTCGCAAGGACATCCTCCAAACTTCCGGGGCCATATGGTAACATACCCCCATCATCCATCTCGACGGGCACGGCTTGAATTCCCCGGGGTCGTGCTTGGGAGAGCACATTGGCATACATGAAAACTTCACATAGCAAACCCGGTCGCTCCCGGATATCGTCCTTCCCTTCTACCCAGATGTTGCTGAATACCTCCAACGTCTTGGACATGCCATCTGTCGAACCCACGGTGGAGATAACCTCTGGTCCGCCCCGATAAGGTACATTTGGATGTAAGTAATCCCGCGTAAACTCACGGATGAAGGAAAGTAGCGGTGGGTATCCATCGGCTTGACCGTATTGTAAGGCGGACGCGAGATCTATCCTCCTCCTCGGGTCTGAAGTTGGAGCATCGTGAGGTACGACGACGTGAGAAGCTACGGGCTGGTTTTTGATAGACGTAGCCGCCAGCTGGGAAGCAAGCGTGCCGTCAGGGTCCGGATAGTTGGGCGTCGGGGTCCATCGATCCGGTCGCGCGGTCTGGGCTTCTAGCGTATCGAAGGGAAAGAGGCCGGCATTTGGGAGACCTGTAATTAAGCTTAACGTTAGACTTTAGAGGTCGGCACGGGAGTTGATAACGATGTAGGATGATAGGCGTTTCGTACCACCAGCGAATTGACCAATATTTGGGATTAAGAAATATTTATAGAATTCCTTCATGCTACTTGGGGCTCGGGCTTTCGTTACATGGGAATAATGGTGAGACATGTCTTTCGGTAGCGGCGCCGCCGTGTCGGCGACAGCACTATTAGACGACACCTCCATGATGAGCGACGACCTGGGAGTTCCCGATATGATGTACTACGAATTCGCGTGTAATGTCTAACCGTTAGGTACTAACCTACTGTTTTAAGATGAAAATATGTACAATCCCGAAGATGGTGTAAGATGGGAAAATGGATTAATATGGATGCCTGCCTAGGTACCTAATGTACATAATCAGAGAATGCAATGTAGGGCACAAAAATGGTACAACAAATCAATAATATATGTAGGAATACAGAAATGTAGAAATGTAGGAGGTGCCATTGCGCCTTGGAATTGCATTATAATAGCAGACGTTCTACTATTTGG